TAGTGAAAGGCAAGGCCACTTTATATTCGTGTATATGTTTAAAAGCATAACTCATACAATTGAAAAACATGCAAAATAATGATGACAAAAATAATTATCAAAATTCATACAACAAAAAACAAATTATTATGACCTCGTTAATATAAGATGTACGTTAGTTTTCACGATCAGCCTCAATATGTTGTGTGTGAGTGTCGTTTTTGATACCGTTCTGCCGCCCGTAAATAGCTGTAGCGCTCTACTAATCAACGATGTTTTCAGAATGGGCGAGATCTCCTTTTTCCGCTTCTTGAAGCCATGGCTCAGAAGTGATTTCCTGTTTCGTCGGACTTCGTTGTACCAATCCCAACAAGAATGTCTAAAGCTTCTTCACGGGTTCACAGATTCGGTGAGCAATTTCCAAACTTTGGCTAAAAAACTCGACTGATGATCATAGGCAAAAACACGGGAGGCAACGCCCCGATTTCAAATGCCTTGCGTACGATACGCGCAGGAAGGTGTTGTGTTAAAATGACACATTCCGTCAGATCCTCCACAAAACACGTGGGCTGTTTAACATGCGTCTTAATTATTGTCGCAACACCCAGGATCTTTTCAACAACCAACTTGAAAACAACTTGTGTCAATCTCGAGTGACGTAGAGCGCATAATTTCATCCTGCTGAAACACCGTCACATTCAAACTGAACCTGACTACGAAACAGGAATCTGTTAGCTCTGAACAGCCACGACACGAGTGCTGTGTCTGTGTGTGAAGATAAACAAGCCTTCATCACGCAACTTGACCCGCGCAGCTAATATGTTATGCTGAAGGGCTTACGTTTGGGTTCGCAACTGGTTGCCTCACCGAGTAGTGCCAAAGCGTTCCCTGGCGCTGCCTGTCCGCGCAAGGATGTTTCTTGCTTGGCGAACAGCTCACATCATTGGTGTTGTTTTCTGTGTTATTGTCTTATTGTTTCTGACTTATTATCTCTGCCCGTGAGCTGCCGTGCGCACGGTGTTTTCACCCGCAACATGTGATAAGCCGCTGGGTTGTGGCTGACCGGAGCGATCTTGATCAGGTGATTCAGTCCAGGAGAGAGGAGCTAAGCAAGTCAAAAGACGCGTCCGAAACTCCACAGACGTCACCACAAGGTACCTGCAGCGTTTTTACAACGTAACATATCGACACTGGCTTGCCGCTCTCACAAAAAAATATCGGCTCAAGTGCGGTGCCTCTTCCATCTCTCAGTGCTGCTGTGTTTTATCGGGTTCAACAAAACGCGTTTAAACAGAGATCGTGTTCCATGTGTTGTTTGACGACTCACTGTTGTGCTTAGATTCGTCGTTAAGCGTAGGTCACCGAGGCCACGGGAAACTCTTAGCCCTGCATTCACGTGACTGGAGGTGGGATGCGGTATTGCCCTGAAGTCTTCGCCCTGCAGCACCGGGAATTCAAACGTGCGACGCGCGTTTCGAATGCCGCCACCCATAGTACGGATTTCCCCGTCCCATCTAGGAAATGCGGTGCCTTTGACGGGGATCGAACCCACCCGAGGCCTTGAATCAACTCGACTTTCTTCGACCCTAGCTATAAGCCGCCATCGGAGCTTTGACCGCTACACCGCTACCATAGCGGCCCGGCGGTGTAGCTAAGCAGCGCCTTGCTTTGCATTCGGGCCACTTGGTTTACTGTCAGTGCCACGTTCAGTACAATGTGAACCAAAATAAGTTTACACCAATATGGACTCACATTCCAGTATATACACACCTTGGGCTTTGGCTCCGAGTCATTTCGAAGTACAATTCCCTTATTTCGCGGTCTCTTCGTACGCTGATCTTCGCCTGCATGTGCATTGCGATAGAGTAAGTCAGCAAGTTTTAAGTACCTCTTTTGACGGGGCTGGATCACGATCCCAAGCTGTGATGATCCACCAAAACCGCCGTCTGTTGGCTTATAACGATGAGGCTATTCGGCATTGCGTTAAGGGCATCGCGCGCGACAGTCATCATTCAGACCCTGTGGACAGGAAGCGGTTGGCACTCTGGGCCCGCTGCTTGCGGCTTCCACCGACCAGCAGCCGTAGAATGAGCTACGTGCATCTGGTAGCTGACGTTGGAGGCCTTCCACAGGCCGGAAGCGGCTGGCGCTGCTGGACCTGCTGCTGGCCTCCACCATTGACGGCCGGCCGCTGAGCGATGCCGACATCAGGGAGGAGGTCGACACGTTCATGTTCGAGGTGGGGGTGATGGTATCCACCGGTGGGCTCATGCGTGCTGTCGATCGTATGTGTGCTTGCCGCCCCTCCCCCTCCCGCCCCCAAAGATCGGGTATGTAGGAGGATGTGCAGGAAGGAAGCTGTCCTCCACGCACGTGGCGTTCACGCCTTGACGTTCCTCTGTGTTCATTCGCATTCTCAGCTCTACAAATACATTAATGCTTATCTACGTGAAAAGAGGACGTCTGGACCGCAACGCAATTTATTCAGTCTTGCGTGCCAGACTGACGACTTACCTGGACATGACGGCCCTGTTACAACGTTACAACGTTACCCTTCACAACGTCTTGAACTTTCTTAGCCCCTTACTCTTCCGCGCTGGTCCGAATCCCTGCGATCTCGAATACTGAACAGCTCTGTTCTAAAGCAGCTCCGCTGGAGACGATCCCGTCTTGAGAAGGCGAGACAGCGTTGTCAAGTGACCGCTCCTACCCGCCTCCAGGGTCACGACACAACTTCGGCCGGCGCCAACTGGACCCTCTACAACCTGGGCCGGCATCCCGGCATACAGCAGAGGGCCTTCGAGGAGGTGCGGGATGTCCTGGGCGACGACGACCGGTGAGAACTGTGAGAGCCTTCTCGGTCGGACGTCGCGCAGTGGCCTGTGAGAACATTAGAGAACCAGGTCATCAGATCGTTCTGTAACAGTCGGTGAGAACCGCGACCACCTTTGAGAGGATTGTGAAACAGCTGGAGAGAGCGTGTGCATTGTACTTGATGCTTAGTGAGAGCTTGAACGGGCCCATTATCTTTGGTGAGAGCACTCACATCGGGGGGGACCGGGATGGCCGGGAGGAGCAGCAGGCAATCCGCTAGGTATCCGTTAAATTCTGAGGTGATATCGGGAGATGTTCTTGGGCTGTCAGTGTCAGTGAAAGTGTTTTCAGGCCCTGTAATTATCAGTGCATGATACAAGTTATCCGACAATCTAAGCAGAAATATAGAGCATATCATGATAAGGGGAAAATCAACACCCGGGTGATCTTGTATATCACAGCCCTTTTTATTCCTGATTGCGACTGGCGATATCGTTTGAATGCCTGGTATCAACCGACACGAGCGTACGATGACATTCAAATGAATGATAGGAGTATCTTCTTTTTTTCTCGGAAAAAGTTGGCTAGATAATTCGTAGGAGCATCTGAATTTGTTGGAAGCGTAGGCAAGTGCAGAAAATTGCTCTGAAACAATTGCAATCACAGAAAATCCCTCGGTGACCTGTAACGACCTCAGGTCGCGTGAGGCTGCGCCGGCGAAGACACCGGAACACCACACACCACACACCAGAACACCACACATACCCGAACACCACAGTTTCACGCATCCTTGAGTGGCTGGTGCATCAGCAGCCTGTGTAAGCCACGGCTAGAGGGATTTAAAACGTTCTCCGATAATAATTAGAAGACCGCATGCGGCGTGAGGTGAGATCAATTGTCCTTGAGAACTGGGTCGATCCAGACACAGAACCCAAATGTAGGTCGTTTGTGTTTTGGTTGACTCGCATGTAATCTGAGCATGCTACCTATGTACAAAGTTTGGCGTGAGACACAAAAATTACTTTAATTAAAAAATTTAATTGATTAATAAATTTAATTTCATTAATAAAATTTAATTTATTAATACAATTTAATTATCAATAATTTAATTTAATAATAGATTTAATTTAATTAATACAATTGTAATCTATTGCACACGTCCTTAATTCTGTCTGTGGCCGGACACCACTACCAAGCCTATCTGATCTTACATATACACGGTTTCCTTTCGGCGTGAAAGGAGGTGGCCATGAGTCAGGCCAAAGACCATGAAAACGGACAGGCAGGGTCATAGCAAAAGCAAACAGTTCTGTGCCCTGAAGCTATGTGACTGGTGACCACAAGGCTCCTTCATTCTAAAAGCCGTATTTGGTAGCCCAAAAACTTCGATGTCGGCCGTGGGTCAGATCAACAATTAGTGGAGCACTTTGCTAACTAGGTTTGGTTATTTGTAAGTAGTCGCATACTTTGAAGGTACGCTGCTACTGATTTTCACGAGGACTTCATTCAATCTTCATAGTTGCCTTCGTTGATGCGATCCATTTTATCATATGTCAAAGGAACTTTTACTTCCATACTGTTACGCAAGAACAGGTAACCAGAGAGGCCCTCCCTCTATCCCAGCAACGCAATGAACCGTGTGTTAACATCAGTAAGCAAAAATAAAGTCGCGGCACTCCCAGCTAGGAATAGGAAACAAACATAAAAACAGGCGAAGAGATGGTGTCGACCCAACAATGCTATCCTTCGGCCCTGGAATAGCAATCTACTGTAAACATCCGGCAACAACTGTCCTCCAGCATGCATGCGCGTAACCTCGACGTCGTTCCACGAATTAAACGTGTATTATGCCTGTCATCCTTGCAACATTGCTGCTTTGGGCCAAGATTACAAATCTCCGTCAGCTTATGCAAATGTCATTCAGCGTCGCATTAAGTTGAGTAATCTTAATCAGTACGTCGCCGATCCTCAATTTTGCTCATTTTCTAAACGCCTGGTGTGGCCTTCCATTGCGAGTCACTAAGGAAAAGAAGTAAGTCAAATTCGGAATCTCCCTATTTCACCCTTCTCTTCCCTCTTCCTCATATTCTGCCTTGCAGTTTCTTATCGTTTTCAAATGGAATACGTAAGTTATTCAGTGCATTAGCGGGGAACGTTATTCACATAGATAAGACAGTAGTAGTAGCCTTATTCCTCGGAAAAACCAGGAGAATGGAAATATAGTTAGGTTGATATTTCGGCAACATGCCTTCATCGAAACAAAAGCAGAAGTGAATAAACGTTTATGTACGTCTACCTGGTTTCCTTCTGCTATTGTTTGGATAAAGGCATGTTGCCGAAATATCAACCTAACTATGTCTCCATTCTCCTGGTTTTTCCGGGTAATAAGGTATCTATCTGTATCTATCACTGTATCTATCACTGTATCTATGTTTTCAACTGAAACAACAAATCTGTCGTCCAAAGGCAAAAGACTTAAGTGCTATGTTAACTGATGGCTCTCAGACCATTTTGCCTTTTTACGGCAGCAATGTCCACGCGAATCAGATCAAATGTCAAAACAGCTTGAGGAGTTCCGGCTGGAGCCTCCGTGTCACCCCACAGGCCTGTGACGCGCGAGGACCTGTCGCAGCTGCAGTACCTGGAGATGGTGATCAAAGAGTCGCTGCGGCTCTTCCCGCCCGTGCCCATGATCGGACGCCGGCTCAACTCGGACGTCGTCATCGGTGAGGCCGGTGACCTGGTGACCTGACCTGGCCGGTGACCTGGTGACTTGATGACATGGACTGGTCACCTAATGACCTCCTCGGTTGCATGGTGATCTGACCTCGTGATATGACACGGTAAGCTGGTGACCAGGTGAGAGAAGACCGGTTCAGTGGTGAGCGTGCCAGGAATTCCTGCGATAAATTTATTTTATATATCTAAAAAATCCGTCAATGCCACGAACGAGGCACTTGTAATGTGGACGCATAATTGCATCCGTCTTCGTTTTCATGCAGCCGTTTTCAACACAGCAGGACAAGCTTTGTAAACGTTTGACAAAAGTCGTAATTTTACCATCAGCTGCAGCGTTCTCTTTGCACCTTTCTCTCGCCGAGCGTTCCTCTGCAGCGTTCTCTTGCCAAGCGTTTTTATTACGCCATTCTTTCGCCGAGCGTTCTCGCTGCAGCGTTCTCTCGCTTAGCGTTCTCTCGCTTAGCGTTCTCACTGCAGCATTCTCTCGCCGAGTGTTCTCGCTGCAGCGTCTCCTCGACGAGAGCTCGCTCTGCAGCGTTCTCTCGCCGGGTGTTGTCGGCGCCGGTCAGCACCGGTCTTCCGCTGGTCAGCGCCGGGGTGTCGTTGCTGCAGATGGGTGCAGCGTGCCGCAGCGGTGCAGGATCGGCCTCCTGGTGTACGCCATCCACCGTGACCCGCGCCACTGGCCCGACCCGGACACGTTCGATCCGGAGCGGTTCAGCCCCGAGGCCTCGCGCGGCCGCCACCCCTTCAGCTACGTGCCGTTCTCAGCCGGGCCACGCAACTGCATCGGTAAGCGGCGCGCCGGCGGGAGGGACGGGACGGGACACGGACACGGGATACGATGCGGGACGCGCGGACGCGGTATACGGAACGTGGAACGTGGGATGCGGACGCGGGACGCGGGACACGGGACGCGGGATGTGGGACGCGGGACACGGAACATGACCCTTGCCGGCAGAGGCTGTTCGGAGCAGCGCCCCACTGGCTTGTCACGAACACCTTGTGGGCTGTCAGTTCGGGGTCAGACTCGAGATAACCCTTCAATGCGAAACGTGTTTCGCGAGCTAATCCACGTTTTCAGAAGTGGCAAAGTCCAGCTCGTTAAATTTGGAAAAGCAGAGCTGGTGAAAATTGCGATGCATGTTAACGTCAAACCAGAATGTATATGTCTGTCCTGAATGTTCTTCTTTTCGAACATAGGCGTTGCGTGTAATGCATCCGATCAATTTGTGCTGATCGGTTCCAACCAACCACCAAAGCTCGGCCTACAATTTGAGGATTATCTTTGATTTAATCCAGAGCAGCCCTAAAGCCCAACCGTATCCGTCGCCAAATGAAAGTCATGAGAAATAATCCGGAAGGCCGACATGTGCCTTGTTGGATCTATCGGCTTCTCTGGTGCCTTCTCTGTCGGCTTCTTTGGTGCCTTCTCTGTCGGCTTCTCTGGTGCCTTCTCTGTCGGCTTCTCTGGTGCCTTCTCTGTCGGCTTCTCTGGTGCCTTCTCTGTCGGCTTCTCTGGTGCCTTCTCTGTCGACTTCTCTGGTGCCTTCTCTGTCGGCTTCTCTGGTGCCTTCTCTGTCGGCTTTTCTGGTACCTTCTCTGTCGGCTTCTCTGGTACCTTCTCTGTCGGCTTCTCTGGTGCCTTCTCTGTCGGCTTCTCTGGTGCCTTTTCTGTCGGCTTCTCTGGTGCCTTCTCTGTCGGCTTCTCTGGTACCTTCTCTGTCGGCTTTTCTGGTGCCTTCTCTGTCGGCTTCTCTGGTGCCTTTTCTGTCGGCTTCTCTGGTGCCTTCTCTGTCGACTTCTCTAGTGCCTTCTCTGTCGGCTTCTCTGGTGCCTTCTCTGTCGGCTTCTCTGGTGCCTTCTCTGTCGGCTTCTCTGGTGCCTTCTCTGTCGACTTCTCTCGTGCCTTCTCTGTCGGCTCCTCTGTCGGTTTCTCTGGTGCCTTCTCTGTCGACTTCTCTGGTGCCTTCTCTGTCGGCTTCTCTGGTGCCGCGACTGTAAATCCAGCAGGGATGTCCGCTTGACTGCTACCAAAGTATGCCGCAGGCTTTGGAATTGGTGCTGCAGGTAGCTGGCTCGTTTTCGTCTGTGGGCGACGTGATGGACTCACGCCGTGCATGCCAATGCTGCGGTAGGGGAAACAGGAATACTGAAGTGGTCTGAAGTATCTGTCTGAAGCAGACAAACAACAATCAGTTTGGCTGCATTTTTTGTACCAGGGCGCGATATATGGCAGCTCCGCGCAGCAGAATAACGTAATATCTCATTACTTGTGGGCTCAAATATACAAGCATCAGTCACACACTCGCAGTTTGTTCCTTGACGAAGTAAGAAATGTGCCTTGGCGAGCTAAACCTTATAGTTAGTTAGGAGCTCAGAATCCTAAAGAATAATCCAGAAAAGAGTCAAAGCACTGCAGGTCCATCACAGGTGACGCTACCCGGAATGTGTGCACCCGAAGCCATGAATCGGCTTCCATTTGCCAAAGAGCAGACTCGCCCGTGGTTTGCGCTTTTGGAGTCGAAACCAGGCAGCTAGCGACTGGGGTGCGTTTTGCACAAACACTGGCCTCATTCGCGTTTAGTGCTGTATCAGTTTATAAAAATTTGCAACGTAGCTTTTCATGACCTGCAGGACAAAAGTTCGCGCTGATGGAGGAGAAGGTGTTGATCGCCACTGTCTGCGCAACTTCAAGATCACGTCGCACGACAAGCGGGAGGACATCAAGCTGCGCGCTGACGTCATCCTCAGACTTGAAGGTGGTCTCTGGCTCAGCTTCGCGCCGCGTCACTGATGACGTCACTCGTCCCGTCACACGCCGCGTCACTGATGACGTCACTCGTCCCCGTCACACCGGCCGGCCGACACGACGTAAACGCAGACGCACGCCATCGAGCGCCACATTCGAGCTGCCTTTGCTCCTTCGACTGGGCCACTGCCTATGCCACAGCCGCCACACATTTGTCACAAAACTGGTACGGACGTCAGCACTAGTGCTTAAGCAACTAAAGTACGTAGTACTAAACACGGTGCCCAAATACTTAAGTGGCTAATACTAAAAAATACCTGAGAACTAAATCGCTATTCTAAAGAAATGTTAAAGTACTTAGTACTAAAAATTGCTTAGTACCAAAGTACTTTATTCTTATGTGACAGATGCGTGACAGATGTGTGACAGATGTGGGCAGATGTGTGAAGGATGTGTGACAGATATGCAGCAGATGTGTGTGGGGCTTGCTGACCGCGGAAGACAGGGCCCGAAAGCTTGGCAGTCGTGCCCGTGCGCAGGGTAGCATGAACTTATATGAAAAGCGTCATACCGGATGAACATGTGAATACGAGCCGGATGCACATGTGAACACCAACCGGATACGCGTGCAGATGAACACGAGCCAAGAGATGTCGAGTGGTACGTGTAATAAGAATATTTGTACCTCGATATGTGATACGGGAATATGATTAGAAGCTTGCCATATCGCAGCTGCACTCCCTCGCCCCGGGAGTGTTGCTATAATAGCTGGGACTCATCCTAGTCTTCAAGCAGACTGCCAGTAACAGCGTAAAACAGACCGCCAATTCGTGTGAACAGATTGCCCAATCGGTGTGAACAGGCCGCCCAATTCGTGTGAACAGATCGCCCAATCGGTGTGAACAGACCATCCAATTCGTGTGAACAGATCGCCCAATCGGTGTGAACGGCAGTCTAGGTCGTTCGGGACTTGACCGACTCGCTGGTCCTCCACGTTCCTTTCGCAGTGGTAAGTATTCGGAACCTACTTGGGAGCAATATAATAATGAATGTTGCGTATCATGATAGCATAAGCGTATACATGCGAAATATACGGTATACGCCTTCGATATCACCGATATCCCTGATGCTGTGGCAAGCGGCATCCTCTTCCAGAATCTGGTCAGACCTCGTGCTGCCATCCACATGCGACTGTGGTAGTGGACGCTGTGGTATCTCGTCCACCATCCGTTTCCAGCGGTTGCTTCTGACATCCTACTGCCATCATACACGTGTGTAAATCCACGCTGCACTTCAGAACGCTTAACACATTGCGCATGTCACACATCGCATGCGCGATTGCATGCATCCAACGCACACACATTCCTAAGGCATTTTGTGAAGATCCGACATCCCGTTTGTAGTGGTTGACGCGTCTGGCGTTAACCACTGCGCGTCTGGGAAATCAGAGGTACGAGGTTCCCCGCGGTGCCCGCCCTTCCTGCCAGGGTGAGAGGCAGGTGACGCCACATAGCCTCAGCAGCTGTGTGCGTCGTAAAGCCCAATGACAAGAACCGCCGACCTGCTCCACTTTTGGCTGCCGTCGTACCACGTGTACAAAACTCATCGAATAGGCCTCCTGAACTCTTCCACATCCCCTCACCCCCCATTTACTTACTTCGCCGAGACCGTGACGTGTACGTCTACGTGTACCACTTGATGTTTCCCGTCAGTTAGTTGGAGTTGATTTGACTTGACTTGACTTGACTTGTAGTATGACGTGTGATAGTACGCCGTGTAGTAAGTATGACGTGTGATATACTCCGGCGGGTGCGCGATTTGCGATCCAACAGGGCTTGTTTGGTTCCGCTGTCGGTCTCATAAAGGGCTCAAATGTCTCTTTAAATCCTCTTGATTATCTGCTGCAGAGAGCTGCTACCGTTAATATCGCATACAAGTATGGGGAAAAGTGAGCCACGTACCAGGTATCTATACATACACCCAAACAAAATTTTAGGGTCTCCTTCACCACATTCTTCACCACCCTCACCACCTTCTCTTTCATCAACCACCACACACGGCATGGAAGGAAGTCTGCGAGGAATTCGCGATAAGCCAGTCCGTGAAGAGCAAGAGCGGAGGTTTTAAAGTTCAAGAGGTTATTATGCTGACTTCTCGAGCTTCAATATGCCAGGAGGTGCTGGTTAAATGGCGTTGTAGAGCGCACACTTGTAAACATTGTCAATTCCCGATGGTTCAAGCTGTGCTTATCATCACCAGTGAACAAAGATAAAGAAGGTTAAGGAAAAATCTCGATTTTGCAGCCAATACACGTGAATCCAGGAAATGCTCCTAACCAGTGCAGCAGCGGGGTGCAGTTTCACAAAATGAGTTGAAGGGGATGAGCATTAAAATGGCCAAACCGCACGTAAAATATGTCACGAACAGATGTCTCCCAAGAGTTAGCCCATTTCGTCCCAAAAATGGGGGGAGGGATGCTGGAGCCCAAGTTGGGAGCAGGGCAATCGAAAGGGAAGCTGCATCCCTGCTGTGGAGACACTGCCGCTAAAAAGATATCACATGACTAAATCACTCGAGCTCCCACATTATAGCATCCAATGCACTGATCTACGCGAACGGCCGCACCCAAGAAAACCGGGTAAGCCATCAAGTTACGACGACTCCTGCCGAAATTAAGTTTGAAAAACTACTTAACACGAACATTGCACGGTCCCCACGACATCCCGAGTGTCCAGACTCTCACGTCCCAGCACCCAACAGCTGGCGCTGCTAAGAGGCGGGCCGAAACACAGACGGCTCAGGCGAAGGGTTCCAATGACACGTGGCGAGCCTCAAGATCGACATGAAGTGATGGCAGGAGGAGCGGAAGAGGGCGGCGGCCCCAGCGACACCCAGGCACAAATGGGCCGCGCTAGTGCGCGGGACTTTGTGGAGGCGAAAAAACAAGATAAATCTCCCCCCAAGCGGAATGGCCGTCAGCAAAAGCAGGCCATAAGCAGGACCACGACATCCAGTCCGGGATACGCGGCGGCTAGCGCACGGAGGTGTGCGACGGGCTTTGTCGCGGCTCGTCAGCGACCGTCCGACGAAAGTCTGGAGGTGGGGGGGGGGGGGGGTGACGGAGCATGATGTGGGCGTGACGTGACGTGACGCTGGCGAAAACAGCGCTGGAGAAGGACAACACTGGACCAGACTGGCCCTGAACTGCTTTGGACCGGACGGTAAGCTGCGGAAGCCTGACGGTGCCGGCAGAAGAGTCGCTGATCATGCTCCGCAAAATAATAGGTGATCTTCGATAGATCGTCGATGATATATAAGAATGCATTCTATTCGATAGATTAAGATAAGATCTATAGGATAAGATAAGATAAGATAAATCGTATTGAATCGCTGGACATGTGTCCGGCGGCTGGCTTCAGAAGCCTGGTGCAATCGCAGTCTTTGATGCCTTTCGCAATCGTTCCAGTCTGCAAGCAAGCGCATGTTGTGGACATTGTGGACATAATACACAGATCTTCATAAGAGCTTCTTGTATCAACAGGGAAAGACGTGCGGAATCCTGCGGGGAGAGGCGAGAGAAGGAAAGGAAACACTTTTCTCAGTGAGGAAAAGGCAACATCGTCTTCATCTCCTCTCGCCGCTGCCCGGCGAGGTCCCCGCATGCATGTTGTCTCTTGAGCTCTGCAAACCACAGCCGTAACTTTTCTAGGCATAATCTGATTAGCCGGCTTGCCCCCCACACACAGACTCTCGCTCTCGCTCTTGCTCTCGCTCTCTCGCAATCTCGCTCTTGTCCTCTTGCTCTCTTCCTCTCGCCCCCTCTCTCCACGTCACCACCATGACGTCACGCGGACGACATGATCGTAATGACGTCATGGGCTCAGATATTTTTGAATATGTGTTCATTCATCCAGTAAAAACGCTCATTTTTAGATTATAGGCACACTGCCATGTTAGCGGTACGCTACAATGCTGTCTGCAAGGAACCCGTCAGATCTTATGTGATTTTCTGTTGTTGTAAAAAACGGAGGTAACAGTGCTTGTAGAACATCGATATGTTTTCATTGTTGTGTGAATCTGTACCATAAGTAGACCTGTTCGTCGTGCGTGGAGTGCGTGTGAAGCAATCAGCTCTGGGCAAATTTCTTCAAACGCAGGTTCCTTGCAACTAGTCATCAGAACGCTTGCCTTGTTATCACAATTGATGCTTTGCGAACTTCATCTTTTCCTCAGGCGGCGAGCCTCTTGAACTCATCGGGTGGTTAGCAACACACTACTATTGAGTGCTCCATCTTTCAACAGCTGCTTGCCAAGCTATCTCAAGCTCTCACAGTTTGTGTGTCCTTTGCGATTGCGTTTACTGTAACTGTATGTGTATACAGTTACAGTAAACAAACATATATATTATTGCAGCGGCTCACAACCGCCCAAAATAAATGATGTTATTGAGGAGGGTTGGACGGAATATTCGACATAGATGAAGTAGTATTGTGATGATGGAATAGTGAATGGTTGGACGAAATATCCAACTTAGCTGGAACATAGACTTATCCACTGCCTGGTATCATGTGGCATGGAATAATCTATGGCGGGAGCGAAACTGAATTTTGAATTAAACCTCGCCCTAATAGAATTGGGGTTAATGTGTCCCCCCCCCCTACCTAAGTTCTTAGGAACACAGCACGGCGATCTACAGCCTGAGAGAGCGGCGGGCGGCAACCTACGATGCCACAGACGCACGCGGCGAACAGACATTCAAATGACGCGTCCAATCTTTGGAGCATGTTTCAAAGCATACTCTGTTGAAACCTCGGGACTAGTTGCGTCTTATGATGGCACTGGGTAGTGCCACTGCAGCACCGTCAAGCATGGGTGCCGATTTCTCAAAATGATTCGGAGGGGGAATGGAGTCTTAGAAATCGCCATAGCGAGACAGTTGCGACAGATTTTTGGATGTTGTGGACTTGCGTTCTCGTTCTCCATCATATATGTATATATATATATATATATATATTATATATATATATATATATATATATATATATATACATATTTATATATATATGCATTATATATATATATACATATAT